AAAGAAAGTTTGAGGCTATTTACTACAGCCCGCGGGGGTACTGGAAAGGAGATAGCGCCGTACATAAGCTGGCCAAAATGGCGCGAGTACCCACGGACGTGCCCCGAAGAAAGTTTGGCATTAACATACCCAATAGCGTCCACCAGGCCGACCTCCTATTCCTACCCCACGACAGGAGGTACAAGTATGCCCTAACCGTCGTGGACGTGGCCAGTCGCTACAAAGAAGCCGAACCCTTAACCGCGAAAGACTCGGCCCAGGTAGCCCGCGGATTCGAACGCATGTACAAACGCAGTCCGCTGACATTACCCAGCGAACTGCAAGTCGATCCCGGACGGGAGTTCATGGGTGCCATGTCACAACTGCTAGCCAAGCACGGCGTCCAGGTCAGGCGTGGCGCTGCCAGGGCCCATCGCAGCCAAGCCATAGTCGAGAGATTCAATCGGACTTTGGCCAAGCGCTTATTCGGGCATCAGTATGCGAGAGAGATGGCCAACCCGGGAAAACGATCAACGGAATGGGTAGCGCGGCTACATCAAGTGGTGTTGGCTATCAACCACCAAACCACTCGGCTCACTGGCAAGAAACCAGCCGACGCTATCAAACTGAAATCAGTGGAGGTACCTCTACCAGCCGGGGGAACACAAAGGGGACACTCGGAAACGAGCCACCGATCCGATATGGTCAGTCAAAACTTACAACATAGATAAAGTGGACATCAAAGCCGACGAGCCAAACTTGTACTACTTGAAAGATGGGCCAGGGAGAGGTTTTGAGAGGAATTATTAGTCATACCGTACGGCACAATGTTACCCCCCAAGCAAAATATCTAACACTTACTGTTGAGTAATCCCAATAGTATCCTGTAACCAGCTCATTCACATTAAACTGTTTCATCGAGGTCAACCCGACATAGTGCCACGTGATCAGGAAAGTGCTAGTTCGCGGTCATAGTGACACAATAGTGTCATGTGTGGCCGGGAAGTTAACTGGGGATTCAAAAGTAGTATATACAATGGTGGCGAGATCTAAGGGCCTTACAAAAGCTTTATTAATGAAATAAAGCTTTACAGAGACCTTTCTTGGAATTGATCTCGGACTATCATTGTATATACTACTCCCCTTGAGGGTACAGCCACTAACAATCTGAGTTATTAATTTAAACTTCCAATGATAAAATATTTATCTATGTACAAATCATTTAACAAATGTAATTCTTTTAAATATGCAATAATTAAATGAGAACTTATATTATGAAAAAGATCCTTCATAGTTCGCAATTTGAAATAGATATCCCCTGTGATGGAATATTCAACACAGTCAAGCAGGACATGCTTGACCGTGATTCTTTCATCACAAGGGATACGAAACGGAGGATCCTCACATTTCAATAGGTATTCATGAGTTAGTGTAAATTCTGTAATATTTCTTTTGATGGTTGGTTTCACTCCGAATTCTTTTACATGGACATTTTTAGCTAATTTAATGTATCACCTTATAAATTGACTAGTCAGGCGTGTCAGTGGTTTGTTTGATTACATCGAAAGACGACAGTGCGCGATGATGCTGCCAACCATGAACTGGGTCGTCGTGAAATGGCTGAAATGCTACTGCCGAGGCATCAAGCATTGCATGAAAACAGATGCAAAAGGCATGTCGCGTTTCGGATGTGTAAGTCAATTATTTATAAAAATCAATTCCTCTTTGACATGGACAGCAGTTGATTGGAGGTGTTCGTAAAATGGTAAGCGTATTCTGATCCACACAGAACACAGGCGTGGACCTGGAGAAACACAGAAATAGTAACAGTCCTCCGATCAAACGATAGGGCGACATGAACAGCCTTGCTTCACTGATCGTTTCGTAGAAAACCGCAGTCTCGCCTGGACGGACTGTTCTTGGAAGTAACGTTCTTTATATGGACGTAAAATTCTTTCATGCAGCTGCATAATACACCATGTTTTTGTGGATAATGTTATTATGTAAGATCTCGTCCTACTCCTCATGGTAAACCTTGAACCCTCTTCAGTAACAGTAAAAGATATCCACGGAGTGCCTCCCACGTCGAGTGCTCAGCATGGCATATTATGTAATCATGATATGCGCTTCTAAAATGATATCGCCCAGTGATCGAACACTTAACATAAGAGTGAGTAAAGCAACATGCGAACATGACCTGTATGCTTTGCACTGACTGAAGTATAAAGTATCTAGGTATCTTAAATATTAATCCTTTAGGTTAATGTCATAGAAACTATTCAGAGACGTTAATAAAACGCGACAAACCACTTTCTAAATCCATAAGAAATCTCTACTAAAAGCAGAATAAACAGTACAGATCCGATTATATTAAAGAGCATGTGGTTCAAGGCACACTCAGCAATAGTGCAGCAGTCTGTAAATAATGGTGTCTGGAGCAGACAATCCAGTGAGGGACACCATGAGATAGGGTGAAGGAGCATGTGTTCATGAATCATTTTCAAATAGTGATGGCCGCCATATAGCTGGAATATTGCTGGGTGCGGCGTAAAAGTAAACTCACTCACTCAAATAGTGATGATACATGTCCATTAAACATTTGAAAGCATTAATGCGGCCTTGCATCTTGTACCCTCAATAGAACAACTCTTTTGTAATCTTAATAAAAGGGCATGTTTGATTGTGTCTCAAACGTTGGGAAATGCAAACACTAAAGGCTGGAACTTTTCAAATAATTCTCCACATGAAATAATACCAATTCTGGAGATATTTTCCGTCACTCGGAATCTTTATGCGTAGACAGACACAACCCCTACAGGTAAGAATCAACGAAAGGTCACCACCAGGTAGGCAAGATGAATAAAAGGAATTATAAGGATAACAACACAAACAGATCTAATGAGACAGCTACGAGGGGGTATCAAAATTTCCAATTATCACCAGGACGTGTTCAGAGTTGAAACTCTATTTTTATTTCTGGTCCGTAAGACTTCTCTACATAGTCACTAACCTTAGTTACACATTTCTCCCAACATTTCTTGACCTTGCGCAGACGGCCTGGATAGAACCCCTGATATCATGGAAAACCAACCCTCCACCTCTTGAATGACCTCAGTAGTATCGCCAAACCGGCGTCTACTTCCTGGCTCATCGGTGAGAGACATATGACCGGTGTGAATATTCTTTTTCCATCTCACAACAGTATCATAAAATGGACTGTCTTCACCATAAAATGTATACTCTTAAAAAAACCAACAACTTGACATGCTGTTTTGACGTTTACTTACTGAGTGCATATAACTGATTCAAACATGACATCATTGCTCAGTTACAGTAAAATCATCACTTTACAAATGCCCAAAACATGATTATCCAGAAAGTGTTTGGTAAAACCACAGAGGGCTATTAAAGCCACTTGGTAAAATGTCAGTATCTGGTGTGAGCATCGATAACGGCTTGGCAGCGGTGACCCATAGAAGAAAGGAGATGCCGAATGCTGTCTTGAGGAATGTTTTGATACACTTGCTGAAGTGCTGTGTGCAGTTCTTGTAGTGTCTGAGGTGGCGGATTACGCTGGCGCAAGCGTCGATCAAGAGTATCCCACAGATACTCAATGAGGTGAAAATCCGGTGATCAAGAAGGCTATGGTTACAACTAAACGTTGTTTTTTTTTGGAGGACCTGAGCTGGGCCTGTCATTAACACTCCCAGTATTTTTGTATCGGGTCAGTAGGTTTGATATGGTCTCTCTGGACACGCTGAAGTGCCTTGCCACATCATGCTGCTATGAACATCCTTGTAAATGGCCGATGGCGTTGTGTCGTTGAGCTTCTGTCAGTCCTTTCATTCTCTTGTCGTCTATAGTGGCTTAAAGCAATGCATGAGGAGTACCATTGATGTGGCTTTTTAAAGCCTACAGTCATAGGCTTCAGCTCAGGGTGATACACAATTTCATGATGCTCGTGCATTTCATGTAGGGTGCGTTTTAGCGATTCACTACAGACGTGAGTGTAATGTTACGTTTTTGTTAAACTTTTCTTTTTTCAAACGTTTTGCCGTCGGCAACCATTCCCCCACATGCTGGGATTCAGCATGAATTGGTTTCTGTCAAATATTTTCCTAAAGTTCAAATTTGTCCCATGTCAAGTTTCTTTTTTTAAGAGTATATTTCATCTCCTCGTGAATCTGTCTGGCACTAAAACAACTTGATAACACTGCACGCTTCAATCTTCACCATGCTTGGGGTTACTCTTGTCTGGGATAAACTGGCACAAGATGGAATAAAGTGCAGTAAATAGGATTTGGTCCATTATTGGTATTAGATAAGGATCACTGATGTTACCTTCAATTATCATCATAATTTCTAAAAATATTTATGGCAATAATTAGAACCTTTTTATATCCCCTAATGCATGCTGTAGTAGAGAGTGCTAAGAAATTAGCGTTTAAAATCATTCTGGATATCCACCAAGTGACATTTCTTACACGATACATTGAAAAAGCGCTTGAATGAACCAGTCATTCAAAGTGGTAGCCTCGACAGTCTCTGTTGCCTTTAGTAGTGGTACTTTTCATTATGCAGTGATTATGAGCGCACGCAAAGTTCTCTGCAATTCACCATGCGATAGTGTTGTCAAGCGTCACACCAGTAACAAAGAGTTACCGCGATTGAATTATTCAGGTCGATTTCACCGATCCTGACAGTCGTGTCTATATGTGCACTGAAATATGACCCAGTAAAGCAGAGTGAGTGGAATTTCCCTCTAGTGGATATCTTAAACGATTGAATGGATCGGGGGTGTTACCACTGTCAATGGCATTCAATCCATAGATGTTACGTTATGATGTGAGCTGTCATTATTGTCTGTACCTGTTGAACCACAAAAAAAAGATTACATCACAATTCTCGTATAAACGTAGACAACGAAGGTAGAATCACAAAGTTAGACTGTTATAGTCTTCAATGACCATTCACTCCAGATCGTATCTACACGCATGACAGGTATGGCTCTTGGTCTTGACGGGTAAAGCAATGGCGACAGAAGATATTTCGAATCAGCAACAGGTAAGTCCAAACCTCAGACCAATTATATTTGTTCAACATTTGTCAGCATGTCACTAGAATAGGACACAAATACATGTAATAAGCAATTGGTAATTACCTGTTAGCTAAAAAAGCACACTGAAGTAGTGACGACTTTCATTTTGACACCACAGTTAAAAAGCGTTAGCTCGTCACGCTGAAGACCCGGGTTCGATTCCCCACATGGTACAGTGATCAACAGCATGATAATCGATCTACGTCATTGGGATGACATCTGTCAGCCAAGTCAGCGAGCATGACCTACCGATCCCGTTAGTCGCCTCTTACGACAAGCATGGCGACAAGCATGGGTTACCTCTAAGTTAAGAAGGCCCCAGATGTGATTATATACAGGCATGCATATACAGAATGATCCAATTACTCCCGGTACATCCGGCATGAAGACACCACTTCCGAATACATTCCACTGCATTACTCCTTTTGAACACACATACGTAAACGACCAATGAAATTCCGGGTCTCAGTCAACCATGCTTGTGGCAAATGAATACCGTGCCTTCTTCAAAATGGCACTGTAAATTTTGCCAAATGTGAGTTGTCACAGGCCCATGAACGACATTTGGTCATGTTAAGCTCAAGATTAGGTACAGCTTGTTTAAGCAAGACGGACGCAATTCCCAACTTACATGTCTGTGCATGGCTGGTGTCACAGAAAATTTGGCCAAATATCTCACATCAGGTAGCCACGCTCTCTAGTTTGCTCCGCAAATGCGTGAAATTAGTTGTCTGCATTTTAGACAGCATTGTCTTACCGCTTTTGAGAATATTGAACCATTCTCATGAGAGATTTGCATACTCTCCAAGCACATTTAGAAAACAACTTTCAGATTGGCTGTGGATGCGAGTGATATTTTTACTGGAGCTGTCCTCTTACAAGAATTTATTCCTGCATTAGACATTAATACTCCTATTCATTATCATTTCCGAAAATGTGACGGCCAGGCAACTCACAGGATGATTCTTTCCATTTTCCCGAATGCGCATTCGAACATACCATATTGATGGGACGTGACTGTCAACTACCTGCATTGCTTCAACCATTGTGGTAGTGACCCCTCTTTTCAAAGTTAACTATTTTATATATTGAGTGATACATCAAGTTAACCCAAGTTTGTACTTGTTTTCATTCCTTTAAAATCGGCTATATCAAAATAATTTGAAAGGTCAGTTTATTTTGCTGTTTTTCATGCCAGCGTAACCAACAAAAATATTACCGGCGTAGTCTAACACTGGCATAATCAACTTGCCTCTCTCGTCAGGGTGATGATAACTGGTATTCAAAACATAAGCTGTGGATTAAGGCAAACATCAAACAACGGGAATGCCGCATTTTCGAAAGGTCAGTAAAGATGAAATTATATGTCAAAGATATGGCTACATGTGAACGTATATTTATTAAATATCCGAATACAGGGTTTCTTACATAATACACTAGTATTTTATCTGGCACTAAGTATTTTTGTATAATAGTCATCTTGTAACGGTATGGCAGATATGCACACCAAATGATGATTGTATATTTAGGGGTTATTTTGGTAAACAAATATGAATGCCACAAGTCAAACTAAAATATGTTGTCTTCTGGATATTTTCAAAATTTGGTTTTCCTTATTATGAATCTCCATGAATTTCCTTACTATGAGTTCATCATCTTTGGTTAAAATCTATTACAAAGCGAAGCTTATGGGGAAGACTGTGTGTGTGGTAAATCCAAAGAGGACCATGTACAGTTCCACGAAAACCGAAGATGGAAAAAGGAAGTCAATACACACACAGCAGCCACAGAAGCCTTTGGAACCACTGAGATAGGAGACGATGAGGACGAAGAAAGGCATGAAATACAGGTATACACATTTTTGAGTTTAACTGTACTCCCAGGACGCTTATCGGCGGTACACTAATTTGAACATAAATTTCTGTACCTGAACCTTCAAATGGCAAATTTAGACCAATCATAATAACTTTTCATAACCAATAGTATCACTGTCAGGCTGAACTGCCTAGTACACCAGGTTTAAATGATGGTTACTGTATGCAGATTGTTTCCATCTGACTCTGTGGCAATGCATTCAATATTGAGCCTGAAACCCCTGTCTGTAGGTGTTTTATGTGTTGTATCTTAACTGCCGCCATTTCGTTTCCTCAACAAAGACTTGCATAACATGATATGGATGTGAACCTTTTTGCACCACTGAAAATGTCAAGTTTGAAATTTATAGAGCATATTAACTCATGTTTGAATGGATCACGGATTCTCTCTTCATCATTTGCTTGGCTGTCATTGACCTCTTTCTTGATACACTACAGAAGACACTTCCATGTCTATTATGCACTGAATGTTAGTTCAACCAGGGAGACTATATACTATATATATGTATATATGTTGTGGAGTATCCCTGGTTCAACTACTCAGTTTGTGTTCCGTGCTATGTCTTATTACTGTGAGAGGGTTAAATTCTTTTGAAGTACTTTTCTTCTTGGGTTTTGTATGGTAGTCTAGCAAGGGACACATGGCATCGTGGTGTGTGTATGGTGCCATGTGCTCTGGAAATGTAATGTTGGTTCATTGTGCAAAGCCAGACAGTGTTCTAGTAAACTATAAGCCATTACTTAACATACAAAATTACTCACCGGGATAACTAATACTCTGGTCAAGCCTGAAATGAAGATGCATAGATATATCCTGATATCAATATTTTGCAGTTTGTGAGAATAGATGAGGATACTCCATTCAAACATATCAAGCATCTGCTCTTTGAAGTATGGAATATCAACGAGCCGAAATGGATTTTACCACTGATTGGATCTCGAACAGATGATTCAGAAGTAGAGAAACAGATGAAAGAAGGAATCTCGTTTCTGTTTCAAAAACTGTCGACAGTTTCAGGTAATTATTGGTAATTTCATTGCAAAAAAACCCTGGTTGTTATAGCAAGGGATGAGCTGCTCTGCATAGTGTTATGACAATGATTGGAATTCACTGACCCCATTCACAGACAGGGTTTTGTCGCTCTTATTGTTGTATCTGAACGTACAATGTCATGTCTTAATCTTAAATTTAAGTGTTAATGTTGGTCACGAGTTCAGGTCTCATCGACGCCTTTTATCATCGGTGAACCATGCTATGTGTGGATATGGCACTTCTTCGTTACCTGTGTAATTTCATCTGGAACGAGTATTCTGCGCAGATTTGTGGATACTCTTTTGTTTACATCCTGATGGCTTATACTCTCTGACTTAAGGGAATATCCGAGTATATACTCGAAGCTAAGGCAAAAGCAGACTTTGAAGATAGGATCACCTCAATCGGTTGTTCATCGTGGACAGAAGGTCTCATGGAAGAGGTATGTGACACCTAAAATGATAACATTTTGATAGTAGCGGGTGATGCTACTTAGACGACCACTTTTACCGTTACTGTTGTGTATTTCCGGCGATCATTTCAGTGTGATGCAGGTCATGATCTGTAGACATCAGATGTTGGACTACGCTTAACACGCCGGGTGTTCTGTTTTGTTTCATCTTTGCGATGTCAAATATACTGGGTAATCGCCTCTTTTGGAAAAAACAAGTGGGCATTTCCTGAACGATATCACTTTTCTCTCCTTTGCTTCTGATGATGCATGTTGTTGTTTTTGTCTTCAGAAACAAGGAAACAAAACAGGCTGTTTTGAATACAAGACTGATAGGGAGATCTTTAGCATAGGAAAAACAATGAGCCACCTGATGCTGGTTGATAATGGAACAGTCGACACATATCTGTGTACCTTGTCGAACTCTTCTTTTTTAACGAAGGTGATTGCCGGATTATCAGTCCCTGAAGATGGTAAGATATATGTGAAGCATATGATAAACTGACTGTTTCCTTCAAACTTTGTTTCCATTATGAAAGAACACCTATATATTTTTCTGTTTTGAAAAGAGAAGAGTAATATGCCTATTGAGATAGAGTGGTGTTAATGTAATGTTATTAAAAATTACAGCATATGATCAGTTGTTTTGATTAATGTTTTATCATAACTAAATCAATACCTGGTAAAAGTAGACTGACAGAAACATCATGAAAAAGAGGTCTTTGGCAGTTCCATCAACAATAAGAAAAGCAAGATTTGTGGACTCTTTATAGTCAATAACACGACGTTTCGGAGTGTATGCGTGGTCCTTCATCACCCGATGGAGGAGCAAGCATAAACTCCGAAATGTCGTTTTATTCACTATCAAGAATTGACGTAAATAAATCTTGCTTTTCTTATGCATTCCACTTCTAAATGCCCTTCAAAGATTCCATCAACATTGTCACTGTTGATACATGCAACATTCTGGGGAAATTAAGGATTGACCCGACTCAGCTAGTGTTACCGGCTGTTTCTGACCAAGTCGTTGGTCATCTCATCCCAGACATGTTCTTTTCGGAGAGATCTGGAGAAACCATCTGTTGAATTTCAATGATGTTTTGCCGTCTCAACGACGTTACAAAATGGCATTTGTACCAAAATTAGAACATAATCTGGACCAATGTGCCAGTAGAGAACGCCATTCAGATTGCCAATAACTGGAACATTTTTGTTCTCTTCTATAACTTGTGATGGCCCATACCATTACACTGTGTTCAAAAATTAACGTCGTTAAAACGTTCTCATGGACGCGTGTAGAGCTCTGATGCGATGAAACCAGGCCCTGTAGGTCTGAGTTGTTACTCACAGTTGGTGCTTGTTTCGAGCATTTCAAAATAGGCACAGGCCGCATCTTAAAAAGTATAAAGGGGATAAACAAGCGTACCTGTGCTGGGAAGGTCCGGGATGGTAACCCTGTTATTGTTATTATTAGTGTAGTAGTAGACTAATGAGATTATGTTGAAGGGTCATTCATTGTTTTCACAGCATCTCCTGCCATTCCTGCTGTTGCGATCCTTTTTCGTGGTGACCTGTACACACTAGAGACCATTAGAAACTACCTGAGAGAGAACATACCAGTCGTTATTGTCAAGGTAAGGCAATTACGATTTTATTGGGTAGCCATGGGACATGCGGTACATTTCATACTCCTCTACCATCTTCCACGGTTTAAGCCCTGGTTCAGGCTCACTGCCTTGGTTTGCTTCTGTGTTATCCCAACCGTACAGATTGATGCCAACGACGTCAATCCTTTGTTTTGCTGTTCCAGATTCGATTGCTAATATTTACAGACCACTGCCTTTAGTTGTGATAAAGCTCTGAGTTAGATACTGACTTGATTGACATATGTCATCGGTTCCCAACCATCTTCCGTAATGTGATAACTGGTGAGCAGACCGCCGGATATTGCTGAGATGCGGCGTACATAACGTAATGTGATAACTGGTGAGCCGGATTACATAACTCCTGTCAGATTAATTTCATATGTTGCCGCAATAACCCTTACGATATTTGTAAACCAATGGTATTTTGGCTCTCTACATTTAGAGGGACTCTGAAATGCTTCGCATACGAATGTATGGCGCAGTCCGTGATTGCGTTTCAAAGTACTACGTACAACATCCGACAACGATTTTCATTTCAGGATTCTGGTTGTGTAGCGAATGCCTTTTGTTATGCAATGGAAACGTCGAAGGGTGTTTCTCAAAGGATGAAAGATGACAGAAATGAACGGTTAGTTAATTCTCTAAGAAACATTTAGGGGCTCAATATGTATATTTACCTGTATATTTTTCTTTCATTTACTGCCCAAGGTGGAATAGCTTTGTAACAGTCATTTAACCACTGTTTGTTTAATTTCATCAGTTTCGGGACAGTCATCAGTCAACGTGCAAAGGAACAGTTAAGTAAGATGCTGTCGGAAATGCCGGATTCGGGTGAAGAAAATGACGAATACGTGCAGGTGATCCTGCAATGTCTTCAAAGGCGTGATCTCCTCTCTGTGGTTGACCTATCAACAGAAGGGCCCTTTTCCAAGGAATCATGTCAGCAATTATCAGAAGTATGACATTTCAACTTGTTTGTGTTATATCCTTAACGTTTACCTTTTCTAGCAGTGTTACTACCAGGGAGTACCAAGTGTCATCAGCAAGCAATCTTGTTGTTTAGTCGAATATTGAGGTCTTGCCCAATTTACAAATACCTTTTATGTCTCCGGCCACCTCATGCGTGATGTAAAGTAAACTTGGTAACATCGGTACTGCAATATGAGCATGTACATCTTGCAGAAAGTTTGCATTAAGAATTAGCTATGTATATATCATTTATTACAGACCACAGACCAAATTTCTGCCACTGATCCTCCCAAATGAACCAGACAAAAGATGCCACCTTATCAGTTTTGTATTTAGATCTTTGGATAAACATTCAAAGAAACATAGATAACTATTCGAAAGATAGGGATAACTTCAGCTTTACATCGTCAACTTTCCTTTTGTGCCTAGGAATCGTGAAGTATCTTTTGGTGAAAGTAGATTTTCTACACAGATTTCAGTGTCATGCGACTTGTACAAGTACGTTTTCAGTTGAAAGGGATTCGCATTACCAAGCAGCAAATCTGAACGATCTGTTTACCCGTGTGATCAAGCATCTCAGTATTACCTACTTAAATTAGTCTGCATTATAAGTAAATAAATGCATGTATATAAAAAATATTTGGATTTTGCGGTGTGGTGGTGTTTAAGATTGTAAATAGTACACTAATGGTGGAATATGCACATTACATGAAATTACTTTTAGATAGGACTTTGTATTAATAATGGATATGTCTATATTTGTAGACTTGGTCTTGTCTTTATAAGGCTGCAATAACGACAATGTGACGGTAACGTTTAAGTCACTCACTTATGGTAGATATGTGCTTGACATTCCAAGTGGCTATGCAATTCTGTATTTCGACCCATACCTTGTTTAATCATCATTCTAGATATTGGGAGTAAAATCATGCGGCACACCACTTTATGGATGACAACTTCTTGTTTATTTCATAGAGTGACGATTCGATGTAAATTCTTACACCGTTACCAAGCTTAAGGTGATAGCTTAATAACGGTGTAATAATCTACATCGAAAGGTCGCTCTGTGGAATAAACAAGTAGTTGTCATCTATAAAGTTTGTGCTTCATTTTCACTTATGTCTTGTGTTTCCGTGTTTAAGATAGCCAATACCAATTGATTTACAGCAAAAACAAGCACTGATTTGATATCAATGGTGGATGAATATTTACCGACACCAGTCTACAGTAGAAAAACAAAAGAGAAGGCTGAGAAACACATTGAAAACAAGAGAGATGACAACTATAAAGATTTCGAGGGTGAGCTCATGCGCATTTGTTTTAGAGGCTTTACTAAACTATACAGATGAACATAATTAAGCACCACCTGAATCCAAGGTCAATGTTTAAGATTTAAAATGTTTAAAACAAGCGATTATACACAGAGAAATGTTACAAGTACATCACGTGATTCGAAAGCCCCCGATAACTGATGTATAAATTTCATAATTGCAGCAAGTGTACCATAGTTTTCTGACTGATTTAATAGACGACAGTACTACTAATTACACTTTCAGAAAATAGTTATTAGCATGTATGATGCAAGGATATGCTGTCGCAACATTGGTGCTAAGTTGAACATTAACCACAGGGGTAATAGTAAGTTGTGATGAAGCACAAGGCCACTGGTGAAGTAAAGGATCGTCCAAGACCAAGGATGAAGACCTGGGAGACCGCGGATGACGACTGAGTCCTCATTCGCCTGGCAAGATGCAGTCTCATGACCCATACAGAAGAACTGCACCGGCGCTGCATTGGCGAGTGGGAGAGATGGTCCATGCAGGTGAACCCTTTGGCTGTGGATCCATGATGGTGTGGGGTTTTATGATCCCAAGTTGGACCTGCTGGATACTGCCTTCAGACTACATTTTAATAACCACCCCCTTGACATTCGTCCGATATTCGTTTATGACAACGCTAGACCTCACCGTTCTCTAGCAGTCATTGCCCATTTGCAGATCACCGCCATCGAAACATCCCCATGGTGCGCAATTAGACCCGAAATGAATCCCATCAAAAATCCATGGGACTATCTTGAACGCAAATAGCTCTCCTGTTGCAAATCTGCAGGAATTGACGCAGACACTCTATAAGGAATGGAAAACTATTTCGATACTGTGAATTAGACGCTTGATTGCCTGGGCGAGCGGTGGCTGCTCCAGTTACTGATGTGGTAGCCAGTGGTGGTTCATACAATCACAACAATCATTATTTGAGAACTATGTGACAATCAGATTGGTGGAGTAGTCATGGCGGCCATACGTTCTGGCATTGTTGATGTTCACGTTTTTGTGTACTCCAGATTGCAAGTACATTGTTACTAATTTTCAATGTCAGTGCTTGTGCTCGATTAATGTTTATGTGTATATTAGATCAGTGGTTGGATCTTCTCGCGTCTTAACATCCACATGTGAACTTACACTTAGGTAATGTTCCAAGACTTGCAAAGCTTTTACCATATTCGACGATGTCGTTAGGTTGTCAATTTCTGTCTCATTTTTTGGGGTGAAACAGCGCCCAAACCACATCGCTGCTGTCTGGTGAATACAAGACATTCACGGTTATGGTTAGAGATACGTATATTTCTCAAGGACATAGAGTGATGTCACTTAATGATGACACTTTGATGAAACTGATGCAAGATTTATGTTTGCGATGACTGTGTACTGAAATATAATCTAATTCTTATATAGATGCTGAAAACATTGTCAAAATGGTGTTCAGAGAAGCAATTCTACAAGAAAAATCTGAATGCGTTGAATTCCTTCTTGACTGTGGGGTTTCTGCAGTGGAAGATCTTGACATGTTGGAACTGTACCAAAAGGTGAGTTCATATCCCGCTCGATTAACTAATTAACGCATGTGGGTAATGAATATATCATGTTAACGAGTTTCAGCCGTTCGGCAATGAATATGTTATCATCCAAAACTGTGTTCCACAGGAGATATTGCTTGTGTGAGATCAAACGATATCTCCTAGGACAGTAGATTTTGGACAATGCCCGACATCCTAGGAGATATCATTTTGACAGTAGATTTTGTACAATGCCCTGACGTCATCAATTAAATGACTCACAATGCTATGACGTCAAAAACCCGATGACGTCACAATGATATGACATCTCTGCAGAGCAAGTCTAATGGCAGTACCATGTTCAGATATGTACATTTTTCATTGAAAACTAATTAAGGGTTATTTTTTATGATAAATAGAATATCACCCTCGTGTCTTCTGATATCAAATATATTAACACTCGTTGATAAAAGTTTATCAACATGTGGTGATATATTTGATATCAAAAGATACTTGGGTGAGATATTCTATTTGTCTAGTTGTACCGTTGCTATTTTCGTTTTTAATGATTTCTTATATTTACATTTTTGACTTCCCAAGCGTAGAACTGACAAGTAACGTTCACCACACTTTCGTAAAATGTCCTTCACATTGACCATTTATTGCATTATGATTATTTTATGATAAGTGACATCCATCCATACTGACCATATTAAGGTCATAGAGTGAAAGCAAGATCCATCGATGGGATATTTTGAGACGTTACCTTTTGACCCAAAAATATTAAACAAAAATGGCAAATTCAAATCTAGAAAATTACCATTGGAATGTATCTTGATCAACTGGATCCGGTTGTATCATTGGTTCATTAACTAATGTCAACATTAAACCCTAATGATACATTAAATCCATAATGCATCATTAGTTAATGGCATCATTAGTTAATGGCATCATTAAAAACGGTTGTATCAAACACTTATTAGCGTATCATTATCTAATGACGTCCTTATGTAAATATTTTCATTCAATCAGTGGATTCCCCTAATTTTTTCCCACAATTCCGCGCTGTAAACATGTAAGTGTTACTCTCGGTCGTCTGTCAAAGTGGCATCTTTAGGGCTAAACCTCGGAACAAAAACAAACATTTCGACTGCTGTGAAGAAGTCTAAATAATTCTGAAACCTGAAACCTAGAATCGGTTGGGATGTTTTGGAATATACACGAACACGAACGCTGAAGTGAGCTTTCCGCCATATTGGATAGTGTTTACAAAATCAAGTTTCGCTAAGGCCAGTCATAGGACGCCTATTACATCATGTATATTTCATATTCAGTTGTGGCAAATGCATCGCTGAATTCCTCATACATTTTAGAATCAAATTCCAAATGGTCTTTGTCACTATAACCAAGTGTCTAAGAAAAAACGAAGCATATTGGGTGTGATTTAAACGGGACGTTGTGCTCATTACACAGCGCTTGCTAGAAACATAATCCAAGCAAAAATCAGATTTTATACTGTGCAGCAATTTCTCAATTTTCTAGACATCAGTTCGTCTATTCGTAGCATGCATGAGCTCAATATTTTTAGAATATGCACGGAAAGAGTATCGTAGCAAGAACTAGAAACAACCGGGTCCTGGTCATAAGCACAAACACACCCACTGTTGAGCCAACCTCTTATCCATAATCCGACGTTCAAAGAAATGATACCTACCCATGCGATTGAAGAATATTGAATTCTTTTACTAATCGAGTGACGTTTTCATAAATATAGAAGTGTTCGATTTAGAAGCACATAATTAATACCAGTCCGTGACCTCGTTGTTTCGACATTACGAAACAATCTGTTACTAGAACATTCTAACCAGGGTGATGTAATTAGGTGTTTGTTTGTTATGGTTTTGACACACATTCAGCTTTGTTGTTAGTTACACCTGATCGACTGTCAACACATATCAATATAATTACAGACGAACAAAGGCCTGCAGAAGACCGTGTCAGCAATATTCCACAAGAGCAAGGTCGGTTGAAACCTATTATAATCTATGTCCATCGTGTTTACCCCAATGGTGTGTCCTAAAACATGATCATTTTCATTTTCAACTTTACATTTCACAGGAAGGAATTGATTTCGAAGGACAAATGAAACAGATATTATCTGGCATTTGTCATGCCTTTAAACCCCCCGCTCCATTTATGAGTTGACTGAATGGAGGATCGTTGTATTACAGAATTGTTCGTCTGTCATCCGACCCAATCATGTTTGCTTGACTGTTAGGCTATACGTATATAATAGACCGCTGTGAGATAGTGTAGATGGAAAGTTACTAATAGTGTATGAAGGTGTTTTTGGTCCAAAAAAATGAAAAGACCAGTCATTTGGTCAAATGACTAAAAGTTTCAACCAGTCAGTTGACCAAGTGACTTAATCGTTTGAGGTAAAAAATGAAGTGAAAACTTTATTTATCCAGTTTCAACATAGAGTTTTGCATTACTGCACAGAAGATTGTTCTTAAAGCATTTGCATTTCTTGGTTCCACATCTCTTGCTACCAGCACATTTACACTTTACGAAACACTGGCCTCCTGATAAAGATTCGGCTCCAACAGCAGTAATATGGGATACTGAATTTTCAGTGTTGACTTCTGATAAAGTGACGAGTTACTCTGGGCACAAATCGAACTGGTTCCTTGCATTGGAGGACACCAGCAGGGCGAGCGTCCATTGTCACTCACATTGGTGATCACGCCCAGAATGTTCCTCGCATCACCACGACCACGGTCCACTAATGGAAAGGGAATGGCCACATTGTCTTCAACACACCCTTCTTTCAAGATACTTTACTGCGCTTCCCCATCCTGTTTTCTGGGGGAGTTGTGTGCAAATGTCCTATTTCTGTTGATGGTCTCCATCTGATGTTCAATGTCATGTCCAAGATGTCCAGTCGTGTGAGATAACGCTATTTGCTGATCAACATTGCGTCTCAGACTACCATATTTTTAAATATTCTTTGTGGGCAATTTTATCAACCCAAAATATCATCGAAATATGATTCGTTGTGGTTCCTGGCTGAGAACAATTATAGTTGGGATAGCCATTTTGCGAAAGACTTTTTCAAACTCCTATCAAGCGGCGATCTTTGATTCTTAAGCTTAATTCCTTAAACCGCTTTTTTAACAAAGCTTTTTTTCATTTATGCAGGAAGAATATGAAAACCTGAAACGAATAATGGAGTTCATCTCAGAAGACAAAGAGGTAAACGGATGTTTATATCTATTGTTATTTACACACAATAAATGATAATTAAAGTCTTTCAAATCGCACATTATTACATATTTCCAGATTTACTACTCAGTATAATGATTTCGTATGTTGCAGGATACTCCAAACAGGTGCACATTCGTGAAAGAGTTGTGCAAGGTAAGGCTGATCGAAACAGTGAGGTTCCATATCTCGAGCATGAAAGGGAAATGGACAATAGTGATTAAATGAAAAAGTAAGAACGAATGACAATGTTCAATGTAAACCTCTTCCTTAATAACACTTATGGTGTCATTGTAAGACAGGAACTAGATGCTGTTTGACAAAAATACCATATGTATTTATCTATGTAAGAAATGTATATAAAAAGTACATTTTACTGATTTTACAATTTTATGGAAAGCATCTAACCGAAAGAAAACAAAGACAGACTTTTTCAAGGTAATCTTGTTCGAAATCTAGATGGTAAATAACTATTTTGTTTCAGTCGTAAATATTAGTAAATATCTGGAGCAACATTAATCCTGTGCAAACATGTCCTTCTTGTTTATTTTGCTGACAAGCATATGCCTCTTCAATATTGTAAAGCAATGTTGTAATTGTATTACAGTGTATCTGAATCGTTGTTCATAATTATATATTTTAACAATTGTCAGTTGTCAGGAATGCATTAACTAATCATGTAAACAGTGGTGTGGAAGTAAATAATTTTTGATGCATTTGGATCCGGTATGCCTCTCTCAACACACATTCCACTAGGACCAGCGAAGGGTTGAAGTTTAGTCAGTTTAACTCCTTTCAGGAAATGTGAATTGATCTTTCACTAAGTACATCTTAAAGACTCGACAAGTCTAATCTGCTTGGAAAGATCAGTTGGAATTTTTAATTGATAACTGTGAATTTTTCAAAACAGTAATCAATCATTCAGTCAACTCATAAAAGGTGCAGGGGTTTAAAAGCATGGCAAATGCCAGACAACATCCGTTTCAATTGTACTTCGACTAAGTGTCGTGATGGTGAACTGGCTCCATTTAAATGACAGCACACAAATTACAAAGGGTAGGACACAGGAGAGAGGAAGTACTGTTACGGTTTAGTAGTATGTACACTGGGGGTACGAGACAACTTTTGCTAAAGGCCTCTGTAAAGCTTTATTTCATAGATAAAGCCTCGATCTCTCCCCAGTGTGCATACCACTTCTGAATCCCCCAACCAACTACCTGGTCACTATGGCCGCGAACCAACACTTTCCTGGTCACGTGACCCCATAGCGTGAGGTAAAATCAATACCTTGATGTGTTGATATCAGCGTAACATATACAATGTTCGAAGTCCTTATCGTGTGCAACCTAACCTTCATCTCACTGTGTTTCTCGTGCCTCGGGTATTATATTATTAGAGTTAAAGATCCATTGTTACATTATAAGATGGAGTGCAACGACCTGCTCAAACAACTGCTGGTGGAGGGTGATAAGCGAGAGGAACTGGTGGGCGACGACAAGCGAGAGAAACTCGTAGTGCTGGCGGTCGGCAGCAAAGCCAAACAATACTTTGGGGGGTACTATACCCCTGATAAAATCCAGAGACTGCACGCCGATGAGGTTGATAAGCTGTACGCGAGATACGAAACCCGGCTCGGGGCCGAGATGACTAAAACTATAGGGTCGACCATGACGCAGATCTACACTGGGTTGGCGTCGTACTTCCTCCCTATTCCCCCGGAACATCGGCTTTACCTGTGGGAAGACCTCGAGAAGGACCCCATCATCGAACATGCTTTGAGCGCCTTCAGCTGCGTGCTGTACCACAAATACAGCATGTTCTTAGCCCCGGTGACGGCAGCGATCATCACGGCGAAGCATTGTCAATTTAAAGAGGGGGGGAATAATAATAATAGTATACAAGATGGATGCTGCCCAGCAAGAAGTGACTGCGACCTCAGAGGAGGCCCTGACACAGGATGCCCCGACACAAGTTACTAAGCAGAAGAACCCTAAGAGAGTTGCCACCGGTAGAAAAGGTGGCCTAGCCAAGCACCATAAGAGTAACTATACTCTGTGGATAGCTGTAGGTGCAACTGCTGCTGCGGCTCTCACATTGTTCATGTTAAATAGGCCACAACCAGCACCAACCCCCACACCACAACCCCAATTAGAGGTCAACCCCCATATTTTGTTATAATTAAATATATATCTTACATTATATACATCATGTCTGAGGGGAAAACGTTCGTTAACGAAGCATACCACGCCACCGTGGTCGCCGGCCTAGCCATAGCATACGCTCGGTTGACCAAGATGGTCCTCAAACAACCGACTATCAAGCTCAACTTCGACCTGCAGGATATGGGCATGCTCATCATGAACCTGGGTATGGCGTGAAAACCATGCCGTTCAAACGTTCAAGGACGTCGACGCTGCCACGAAAGAATACTACCTGCTAACCAGCAAATAGCTCGAACCCCTCGATGAGCCGACACTGTCTCAGTACTACGCACCCTCCCCAGGGCAAAAGGATCGAGAAATGGCATTCGTTTTGATAGGCCTAGCAGCGACTGCGTTAATTGCAAAGCAATTAAACTAGGTACCCATATGAGTATACGATGAGACCTGCCCCGTATCGATGCCAGTACGTGCTTATGGGAAAGCATAGGAGATAAAACCTGCGGTAGGAGATGCAGGAATGAGGGGTACTGCTGTTTCCACAGGAGGTGTTTCATGAACTACACGTGGTCCATGTGTGGCATTGGAGTTAAATGCCACTACTGCCTATGTAAAGCCCACGGGGCAAACGTAGTCCGGCACCAGCTTATCTACGAGAAGAAGAAGGACTACATAAACGAACGTAGGCGCCTCCTCAGGATGGAAGTGTAAGGGCCCTCCGGAGGCCCAATTAAATACTGTGTACACCTAGGTATAATGATGAGTACCACCCGAGAGCCTGCGTTCGTGCAAACCACCATAACCCTGGAAGGTTACCTGAAAAGCTGGCGGATGAACAAAGCCGAAAGCATACCCATGACCGGCATCAAATCTCTGATCACCGACATACTCAAAGAGGAACTGAATGACCTGGGACGCTTCCAATTTCGGTTCACACTGAGAGTGGCATGGGCTAAGGGGGGCGTTAGGGGTACTTCCCCCATCACAGGTGGGGGAGAAGTCACGACTCAACCTGAGCTAGATAAGTACCTCAACACCTCATTACGAATCGTACAAGACTACCTGGAACGCTTCCCACAAGGTTCAGAGCGGGTTGAGTGCAGACTCAAAACGGTCTACCTAAGTATAGCCGATTACGATGCTAAAGTGGACCTACTGATGCCAGCCCTCCACCTGTGCTCCCCGTACGACCTCCCCCAACTGTGAAACAACTCAAACTCCAAGCGAAAGAGCTGGGGCTGGTAGGTTATTCCTGTATGAGGAACTGCTGCATCAGCACAGAGTCGTCGATCTACAGTTCGTGCACACTGAACGCGCTGTAGGTAACTATCTGAGAGGCTGGCGGATGAATGTAGACAAAAATATAGACATCGCCGACGTCAAGCCTCTGATCGCTGACAAAGTCAATGAGGAACTGTACGACCTGGGAAGTCTAAAGTTTCAAATGACGGTGAAGATGTCGCTTGATAAACAGCAGACAGACGGTGCCATTGAGTACATTCAGCCTTACTTCCAAGGTAAACAAGAAGTCGCGACTCAACCCGAGACGACAGACGCGTCCATCGACACCTCGCTTCAGCAAATACGAGAATGCCTGGAACGCTTCATGCACAGGGGTTCCGGGTGGGCCGTGGACAAAATCGATAGGGTCTATCTAGACATAGCCAACTACGTGCCGTTCAGAGGCGGATCGTACCTAGACTTACCCCCCTACTACAAGAGAAAACAAGCCATGGTCAACGTCAATAACAGAGGAGACGATTGCATGAGGTTAGCGATCAGGTCCGCCTTGTTTCCGGCCGACGTACATTCGGACAGACCTTCTAGCTATCCCCAAGATGATGGGCTAAACTGGGACGGTAAAGACGAACCCACCCCCATATCCCAGGTCACCAGAATCAAGCAGCAGAACCCCATAGCCATCAACGTCTTTGGGCACGAAGGCAAAAAAACGATCGTGCACAGGATCAGCCCAATGGAGGGCCGCGTGATCAATATATTCATGATCCAGCGAGGTGACAAGTACCACTACGTGTGGATAAAACACTGTTGTACGACCAATGGGCACACAGAGAGAAGAGACACTTCTGCGAACAGTGCCTGCACGGCTTGACCCGGGCCGACCTGCTGGAATCAACCGGGAGGATTGCCTAGGCGTGGGGCAGACATGCCCAAGGAAGGCAACAACACCCTAAAATTCGACAACCACAAGAACCAGATGTCCGTACCTTACATCATCTACGCCGACTTTGAAGCCCTCGTCAAACCCGTTGACATCGGGCCGGCCCCCAACACGCACAAAACGTAGGAGCAAGAGGCCTGTGGGTTCAGATACGTGGTTGTCCAATGCGATGGCCAAACGAACGCTCCCGTGGTGTACAGGGGTCCCGACGCGGCTGAAAAGTTTCTCATGTGCTTGCAACAGGAAGAGAAAACCATCAGGAAGAGGTTGTACACCGTTGTTCCCATGCGTATGACCCAAGCCGACTGGCAAGCTCGCGGCTGCAGCACTCACTGCCACGTGTGCGACGGCCCGCTGAATGGCGGTGAGAAATCACTGTCACATCACCGGACGGTACAGAGGCGCCGCTCACAGCACGTGCAACCTCGAGCTCAGAATCAACCCCAAAACAATCAACATCCCCATGGTCTTCTACAACTTGAGAGGGTACAACTCTCACTTGATCATGCAGGCCATCGTTTATAGACTCAGTTCAGTTCTGCTGTTGTCTCTCGACAGTTTGGTCAAGGCCAACGATACCTTCCCCATCACCGATCGATACACCGATGCCGAGACTCAACCCCTGCTGATGAGGAAGGGTGTTTACCCCTATGAGTACATGGACAGCTGGGCCAAGTTCGCCCAGAAGGGGTACGACTCTAGCAAGCCCACCACCCATATCCTCTACCTCGACGCCAACAACCTGTACAGCTGGGCCATGAGCCAGTATCTACCAACCGGGGGATTCGAGTGGGTGCCTGAGATAGACGTCATGAGCATACCGCCGGATTCGGGGAAGGGTTACATACTCGAAGTTGACTTGGAGTATCCAGCAGCATTACACGCTGCACACAATGGCTACCCCCTGGCTCCAGAACGTTTGATGGTGGACCCGGACTTGATGTCCGACTACCAACAGAACTTGCCGGGGTTAATAAGCCGGCCAACGTTGAAAAACTAGTACCCAACTTGATGACCAAAACCAAGTATATCGTTCACTATCACAACCTGCAGCTGTACCTGTCGTTGGGTATGAGGCTGACTAAAATTCATAGGGTACTCAAGTTCGACCAAAGCCCCTGGATGGAGCCCTACATCAGAATGAACACGGACCTGCAAAGCTGGCCACCAGTGACTTCGAGAAGAACCTATACATGCTCATGAACAACTCGGTGTTCGGTAAGATGATGGAGAACCTGAGGAAACGTGTGACCATGAAGCTAGTCCGGGCGAAAGAGGAAGACAAGCTCCGGAAACTGATAGCAAGCCTGGCATTCAACCGGAGCAAGATATTCACTGATGATCTGGTGGCCCTACACATGAGGAAGAGCTACATCAAATTCAACCGGCCCGTCTACGTGGGGATGAGCATCCTCGACCTCTCCAAGCACCTGATGTACAACTTTTACTACAACAAGCTCAAGAAGCAGTACGGCGACAGGTGCGAAGTGCTGTACACGGACACGGACTCCCTGCTGAAGGAGATTCGAACCGAGGACGTGTACGAGGACATGGCAAAACACATGCACAGGTACGACACCAGCGACTACCCCAAGGACCACCCCATACACAGCACGGTTAACAAAAAGGTCCTCGGTAAGATGAAGGACGAGTGTGCTGGCACGCCCATAGCTGAGTACATAGGCTTGAGGCCCAAGATGTACTCCATCCTCAAGGCCGACAAAGGGGAGATCCGGAAGGCTTAGGGCGTCAAGAAGTACATGGTGAAACAACACATCAAACACGCCAGATTCAAGGAAGCCCTGTTCAAGACCCGCACCTGCAAGCATCGAATGAACACACTGAGAAGCGACACAGGATATACGGGCTGACGATAAACAAGACGTCCCTGTCGCCGATGGACGCAAAGCGTTGGATAGCCATCGACGGAATCAACACGCACCTGTAAGGGCACGAAAAATTGAGCTAAATATAGACGTATGTATACGATGCCATGCCTTGAGTCCATTTACTACAGCCCGCGGGGGTACTGGAAAGGATCGAGCGCTGTACATAAGCTTGCCAAAATGGCGAAATGACGAGGCCAAAGCGTGGCTTGAACAAGCCCTGTGGCAGATCTACATACCGGCACCACGCTACGTGCCTAGAAGAAAGTTCGGTGTGCCGACGCCCAATAGCGTCCACCAGGCCGACCTCCTGTTCCTACCCCATGACAGCAGGTACAAGTATGCCCTGACCGTTGTTGACATGGCTAGCTGCTCCAAGGAATCCCGAGCCCTTAACCGTGAAATGTTCGGGCCAAGTAGCCCGCGGATTCGAATGCATATACAAGCGCAGTCTGCTGACATGGCCCACCAAACTTCAAGTCGATCCCGGACAGGAGTTCATGGGTGAAGTATCACAACTGCTAACCAAGCACGGCGTCCAGGTCAGGCGTGACGCAGCTGGGGCTCATCGCAGCCAAGCCATAGTCGAGAGATTCAATCGGACTTTGGCCGAGCGCTTATTCGGGCACCAGTATGCGAGAGAGATGGTCAACCCGGGGAGACGATCAACGGAATGGGTAGCGCGGCTCCCCTCGAGTGGTGTCGGCTATCAACCACGAGACCACTCGTCTCACCGGCAAGAAACCGGCCAAAACTATCAAACTGAAATCAGTGACGGCCAAACTGGCTGCACCATCGTGTGGGAAGGCAAAACAGATACCCGACAGGGCCCTCGTGAGGTACCTCTACCAGCCGGGGGAACACAAAGGAGACACTCGGAAACGAGCCACCGACCCGACATGGTCGGTCAAGACTGTAATGTGGACATCAAGGCCGACAAACCGAACTTGAACTACTTGAAAGATAGGCCGCCGAGGGGGTTCGTCAGGAAGGATTTGCTGATCATACCTCACGGCACCATGTTGCCACCCAAAAAATGAAGCATTTGCTAAGCATTGCTAAGCACTTGGTAAGCCAGGGGTTGGTCGGTCTTGAGCACTAGCTTAGCATGCTTCATCTCGGCTAGCTGTCTCTTCACCCGTTCCCGTTCTAGTTTGCTCATCACATCGTTCTCCCTCAAGCACTCCTCGAACGAATCCCTGTCCTTGCAGTGGAATAAGGCTACCCATTGCGTCTGTTCCCTGAGGTCTTTCAGTACCGAGTTGAACTTCTGCGTTAGCACCCAGACGCTGTGTTGAGCATGCCGGCCGGAGAAGGCTAGGTACGATAGGATGTATCTCTTCTTCGTTATCTCCTTGTTAGCGCTGCAGTCGTCCAGGATGAACAGCGTCGACTCCCCCCTTAAATTTGTTGTGATAAGCTTTCAGCCAGTCCTACAGTCGTGTTCCCGGGTCGAGTCTGTGCTCGTCCGGGTCCCTCATCTCCCAAGACCTCTCCGTGTACGTCTTGTTTATGCGCACATGATAACTATATTAGGGCACATGATAACTATATTATCGAAGGTATCCTGGTAGTAACCCTCCAACATATCCAGCATGAAAACGGTCTTCCCGCCCGCACACTATGGCGGGTCGTGGGGTAGATCAGTAGATTGCTTGCACGAATCTCCCATTGTCTATATTAAGCTGCGCATCCATAATCAAGTACAGATATAATTTCAACTTGCCCACGGGTTGAGCCTTCTTGGTGATCTGGATGGTTATCCCCTCGCTACTGTTGTCTATGCGGCGACAGCTACTGTGCAGTTTATCGTCATCCGTGGATCGCATGTCCAACCACACCGCGTACTTGGTGGTCAGGTATTCTCCAATCTGCACGGAGGATAGATCCAGGTCCTTGATGACGTGTGGGTGCCGAGTCGGTAGCTTCGTTATCTCACCCCACTGCTGGTATGCCCTCATACCACCTCTGAACAGCTGGTTGGGCACGCCCTCGATGGTCACTTCCACCTTCATGATCTCGGGGTTGAAAAACTTCTCGCTGTCCCTTCGGAATGGCTCGTAATCCTCCACAGGAATGATCAAGATACCTTTCATCGATCGCGCCGGCATGTTCAGGTTGATATTCCACAGCGTGTT